AATTAAAATAAATTTTATCAAAAATAATTTTTAAATGTAATTTTTTTGTAAATATAAGTATTTTTTTGTTATATTTGTTTAACTATCTAAATACTTTTTGGTTTAAAAAATGTTTAGGGACTTTATCATTTAAAATATGAATATTCATTGAGTTTTTTTCGAACTTTTTCCATTATTTTACCACATTAACTAGTTGTATAGGTTATAAAAATGTATCTAACAGGTTTTAGAAAGTTCAATAAGTTATTTAACATGTTTTGAAATGTTCAAGAATTATTTGTTCTAAAAAATTATCCAAAAACTCAATCATTTCAAACACTAAAGTCTATTGGTTGTTTTAGACTTTTTCCATAAAAGAAACCTCATTCTTTAACATTAAAAATCAATAAATTAAAATAAAATCAATAAATTTAAGAACTTGATTAAAATTTCGTTTTTATTTTTTAATCTGTGTATTAAAAATGCAGTCTATAGTTTTTAACACATGCTCTTGACAATATTAGATGTTAAATTTGGTAGTTTGGTTATTTTTCAAAATTCTAGCGAAAATAGTAAAATTTTACTAATAAAAGAAGCATTATAATTTACATTACAAATAAAAGCATTTATATATAGTTAAAAGGTTGTTTTAAAAAGTGGTAAATGTTTGAGAAGTAAAGAAATAATCCTAGACCTTCATACGGTCAAGATCAGATTTGACTGGTCAATAACACTATTAAAAAACAAGGTATCAGCGACGAAAAAAAATCCCTCACTAATCAGCGAGGGAGATGCCAAAAAGCAGTTCCCTCCCTGATTCATCACTGATCAGCGAGGGAAGTGATTAAAAACCAGTTCTCTCGCAGATCCCTCACTGATCAGCGAGGGAAATGGCCAAAAACGTAATCCTTTGCAAATCTTTCACTGATTAGCAAGGGAAATGGCCAAAAACGTATTCCCTCACGTTTTTGGCCATTTCCCTCATCACTCGTTGATCAACGAGGGATCAACAAGAGATTATCCTATTTTTCTAATTTTCTCATTTTTTATGTGTTATATGTACACATGTTTATGTGTAGGTGTCGTATGTATATATGTTATTTGTATATATATGTTTTGGTTGCTAACCATGATGTGCATGTGTTATATGTACACATGTGCATGTGTTATATGTATATATACTCGTCGGCCCGTGTTATATACATATGTTTACACGATATTGTATGTGTTATGTATATATTAGGAGGTAACACTTACTGATTTTGGTAATTGCTCAAACATGTTGATTGCATCGCCCTTGGTATAACTCATCGGGTGTATTTGTTGCCTCTTCTTTATTCTTCCGATGAATTGATGCCCCTAGAATGGGTTGCTTTTATTTTACCCTCAAGTGTATTTATTGAATTACTTTTAGAATAGGTGGTTTCCATTTTACTGCTAGTTTCGTTCCTAATCATAAAGGATATTAAGGGGTTGTTTACCAAATTATTTATCAAGTCTTGTATGGATAAATTTGTCTGTCCGGATAAATGGGTGTTGTTGTTTACTTTTTGTTATCTGAACCAACATTCTGAATAACATAAATAACCGGTTTACCCCCCAATATCAATTATTTGAACATCAAAACAAAAAATCATAAAGAGGCCGAAGATGGGGTGTTTCATATGGGAAGGATGTGGTGCTTTAAATAAGGGGTAGGAGTGTCATTTTTGTGGCTAAATGGGGACTATACACCATTTTCATCTGTACGATTAAGCCATGTTATATGCGAATAAGCCGTAAGTAAACAACCCAAATGAGTTGTGCGAATAAACCAAATAAACCAATAAACCTAATTAAACCACAAGTAAACAACCCCAAATTCGTTTGTTAAGATCCCTTCAAGTGAGGGCATTTTGGCCATTTCCATTGTGAACCACATATATAAGCATTTAAAATATGTGAAAAAGCAAAAAATTCCATGATCAAGACTCGAGAGCATCATCATCAACACCCCATTAGGGATGGAGGATATAGATAAAGGTTATTTTGTTACATTGTTCAATTAAAAAAGTGAATAACAAAACATGCGATGGATAAATAATAGAAATATCTACAATTTGAACTACAAATAATAACATAAAGCATTCGACATATAAATAAAATCAAATTCATAAGCATAATAATATTCTACGTGTAATTTGTTTTAATAAACATTGTAATGTTTTCCAAATATAACTATATAGTGTAGCTTTTTATAAACAACCATGAGATAAAAATTTCAAATATCCTCATTTAATCATTACGAATTATCTTGCTCAATGAATAAAATAGATTTAAATTTACACATTAACATATGACATATACGAAAACATTATAAAAATTATAGTAATATATATATATATATATATATATATGTGTGTGTGTGTTTTTTTTTATTCATTTGAGAATCTATATATCTATATAAAGCAAAATCTTTGAAAGATGACGTGGCATCTTCAAATCATGATATTGTCTCCTTAATTATTTCTTAATTTATGCTTTTTCTTTTCTTTTCTTTCTCCCGAAATCATTTTCTTAATTTATTTATTACTTACTAATTGTCTTATTTATTAATTACCCATTAATTGTCTTAATTTATTAATTACGACATTAATTTTCTTGACTTATTAGTACCCTAATACGTTTATCTCAGTTTCATTTTTTGTCCATAAACCAATTGTCTTAATTTATTAATCACCCATTAGTTGTATTAGTTTATTAATTAAGACAAGACGTTAAATGTCTTAACTTATTATTAAACTAATACAATTATCTTCTTTATCATTGTCTTTTCTTCTTCGAACACATGATTTAGCTTCGTTTGTAACCTGATTCACTGTCAAAATTCATGTGAGAAATCATATATAAAGGAACCATGTAAGGGTTGTGGCCTCTTCTCAAAGTTAGAAAATGTTTTATTCCTTTTATCCTTTTCTCAAGCTTCTCTCACTTCAATATTTATTTTTGATTATTGATATTCACATTTAAGATCCTTTAATTAAGTTACTTCAACCTACTCATGTTCTCTATAATAATGGCTCTTTTAATTCTCATTATTTCTCTCTATTCGATTATAATTTTCATCTTTTCTTCATGGTACACCTGTAACATCCCCCGTCCCCGTGGTCCGGAACGGGCGGTGTCACTAACGGGACTTAATTCAAATACACAAACATTGCAGAGCTACTAATAAACTCCAAACGTAGATTAACTTCTAAAACATGCTTTACAATCCAAAATATTACATTCAAACAACTATTTATAAGCTTAGAATATTATACATCTATCAACGAGTTTACAAACTCCAAAAAAATCAAACGCTCGATCTCAAGTCCCGTCCCTTATCAAAATCATTTGGAACCTACCGTGTCAGAAAACAAGAACACGGCTGAGCACATGGCTCAGTGAACAGATTGTATATATACTTGAAATACTAATACGTAACATCAATAATAAAGCAGAAGACTTAAAAATCAATGAAACTGAATTCATAGAAAATCAARACGTTTCACWGKTYTCATTTCAAAACATCATTTAAACACAATCCGTCAATTCCTGTAGTGTTCGTGGGGTGGCCAAACCACACGAACTAT